CCGGATCTTTTCTAGCTAGCCTGACAAGTTATGAGTGATGATGATCCTCCTGCCAGGAAACCAGGAGACCTAAACCTGTCCCATTCTGCAAGACTGATGGATGCTTGAACCAGGACTAGTTATCAAGAGACAGCCCGAGTCTTACATTTGAATGTGATTTTTAGTCAGACCAGTGCATTCACTTCCTGTATTTAGGTTATGGATAAAATATAAGATATGCTAAATGCTGCACATTACAGGAGGCACATCACAGGAGACATGATGACAATAATTAAGCATCCATCAATTTGAGTACATTACATGTAAACACTGAGTTTTTCAATGTTTGTAATGTAATTGTTGCTTGTAAATACATTTAAAGCAATCCAATCATGTCTTTATACATTTATCAACACATTTAAGAAATGTCTACAAAATACAGTAGATGTGTCTAACACACACATGTGCGTGTGCATATCCACACAAATTTTCACACATTTTTAAAAAGTCCAGTGAAGAAAAAACAGCAAACAATATTTAGCCTCTAATTTTCCTTCATACAAGTTCACCAATATTTTTTATTTCGATTGTAGTAAAGTGCAGATGAGCCTAATTTATATGTATCTTACACTATGTCTCTTTGCATGCCCTCAGTTCATTTGTCTGAAACATCTGCCTTTCCTGATTGGCAACTCAGCTCAAACAAAGGGTTTGAACAGCAGATGTATGTAACTCTTGTGCTTGAGAGGACTATGTTAAAGATACTCCTTCTGTTTGACATCATGGAGATCCAAGTCTGAAGCCTGAGCTTCTGGTTCACAGGGATTACTTCAAACACTGACTGAGCTTTTGAAACTTTGGCCATGTTTGATATAAGAATCCATCACTGCGCACTCTGTTTATATGAAAGAAAGTCACAAAATCAGAAAAAAAACCCTAGAAAATGCACAACATTTGTTACAGAATATGTTTTATGTGTGCATGCTTGTGCTTTACACTGGTGTGTGTGTGCATAGTGTATATGGGCACATGCACGTCCCCGGGAATGTAAACACATTTTAAGACTTCCTGTCCGGGGATGAAACTGAAAAGAGCTTTCGAGAGTGAGGGAGGAAGGTATTAAGTCCGAGCCGCTGAATGAAGAGAGAGACTAAAAATGATGGAAAAAGAAGGAGAAATAGGAGAAGAGAAAAATAAGAACACACTGACACAGGTGAGATTTACAAACACAGATGGAGAAGCCGATAGACAGGAGGGTGTTTGAAAAAATTGGAGATATTCAGAATGGGCAAGTACATCTCGTTCACAGATTTGAAGAAGAGTGTTGATGATTATTACAGCCGACTCTCGTAATTAGAAAACCTGAGAAGAGAGACACGACCGGCACGCACAAAACAGAAATGGAATTCTACCTGATGATGAACTGCTTAACGCAGAAAGACGACTTCCAGAAACGGGGATGAAGATACAAAGTTGCAAAGGTCACTGAAAGCTGAAGCATCCTTGGACAACGATGAAGGAATTTTGGATTAGGATTTAAAGACACCCCAGTTTCATCATAGTTGACTTCAGAGTTACTCATTTGACTGATCTCCTTTTTCTCAGCAGGTATGTCATATAAAATTTCTATTTTATTAAAAAATTGAAAACTTAATGAAGTGTTTCACCAAGTTAGATTTTTGTGAACTGTTTCTTAATCAGGGTGTGCTGAAACACCAACGGCAAGCTTTTAGTCCAATCGCGAGTACATATGTCTCTAAAATCAGAGTTGTCTTAAAGGGTTTAAGTAAAACTAGAAAAAAACATAATATATCACTATCACACTCCATAATTTTGCCTCATTTGTGTTTGTGAATGCTGTCTTTTAGATGATCAGTAGCACACACACACACAAACACACACACATAAAGCCAGACTCCCACGCTGCTAGGATTTATTTGCACAGTGTTATTTTGGATCTTCCTCTGAGCCCTCTCTTTTCCTCCCAGTATCATTTTACAGTCATTGCATCATGACTGTCTTTGATTTCGGAAGAAGAAGAGAAACAATAAAATGGAAACAGTGATGCATTAGATTACATCTGGGTTGCCTAATGTTGCTGTATTACAGTACGGTTACACTAGGCAGTATTGACAGCTTATAGCAGATAGAGAGTGTGAGCCCCACTGTAAATTTTATTTTAAATTAATAGCATTTTAATTTTCCTACCATAAATCTTTACTTGATGGCCCATGATGGCAATAGAAGAACAAACATGAGCTCGTCGTGCTGTTAGGGTTGCCTAAGGATTCCAATCATGTTATAGCTGTATCACATGTATTAACTCTTACATGCTTTATTTGACATTTGACATCAGTAAAAATATCCTAAATGTCATTCGTTTAGCCTGAAAAGTGATGACTTGAGAGGGTCAGTCAATTTATACGATTGCAGGTGCTACTAGATTTTGTACATTGAGGCTGTTTCAGGTTAATTTTGACCCGCGACTGTTGAGATGCATTATAGATCCACTCGTGTGGGTCAAATCACGGAAAATTGTGGATTTAGGGAATCTTGAAACTGTAACTGTCATATCTGTGTGTATTTTCTATGGGATAGTGGTGACAGAGTTCGAGGGTGACCTTGACACTATGTTACTGCCCAGGTTCCCACAGAGGTAGGCACTTGCTGGTATGGAAATAGTAAAAAAAAAACAAAAAAACATAGAAGTGATCATATGTATGATGCACATAAGGAACAGAGGTCATACAGAGGTCAGATGGTGCCTTGATACAGACACAAGATGTGCACCCGCAAGAGCAAGAAGCAACAATGTAACTAAATAATCTAAAAATGAAGAAAGTAGAATCCCTGTATTCTGAACTTCTGAGATTAAATTAGGTGACAGCTAAATTAGATTAAAATAGAACTCAGAAGAGGAATAGGGAGTGGGTAGATCAGTGCTAGGTGGTATCTTATTGCTGTTTTGGATACACAGACTAGTTTGCAGTTATACAATAAGCAGTAGACATGATGTTTAATGGTTATAATGTATAATAAATCCCAACAGTTCCAGAGTGATCTCGCCATTTTTACTTTCAATAAAATATATTTAAACAATTATAGCTGCAATGTTTTTATTACTTAGAGTAAACAGGGCATGATGTTGTGTGATAGTAAATGTTTGGGTTTTTTTACAAAACCCAAAAATATACACTTTCTCATGCTCTGTGAAACATTATTTAACATTAATAATTAATCATTAATTTAATATTGTCTCATAGGCTATTTATAAAGTCTAAAACATTTAATTTGGATCCTGTGAAGACATGGTTTGAACAGTGTGTAAGGATTAATAAGCCAAATAATAAGGCAAACTAAATGCAACTGGCTGTAGTTACGAGTGTCACGGGACTATGTCTGACTACATTCCTAAGATTGAAATCTAAGTGGAAAAACTTTAACAAACTGAAAAAAAAAATTCTCAAAGAATGTTTGGGAACAGTTTTTAAGTAACTCTTAAATGCCCAAGTTATTAGAAATAAAGAAGAAATGACAACAGGGCTAACTTTTTTGCCATTCTGCTGAAACTTACACATAGTTCATGGGTTGCTTAGAATGAATAACACTCATATTTGTGCATATATCATAAAAGAGAGAGAAAGAAGCAAGTGCCTAAATAAAAACTTTCCTCAGAGTGCCCCACTATAACGCTTGTACGCACTGTTAATAATGATGAACTAGGTCAAATAAGCTGACTAATATCAGAGGGTGTCACTGTGAAAGCACTCATTTATTTCCTTCAGTGCTCTTAATGTTGTGTGGCTAGACTGCTCCGGTTCATGCAGATGAATCACATTATTCATGCCTCACCCTCAGTTGAGCATGTTATTCCCATTAGCATGAATAGACTACATTTTTCATCAGCTGGATGATTATTTTGCTAAGAGATTTGTTGTAAGCAAGGAGCACAAAACACAAACTCCAGGCATCACATACACTGGGCTTCTTAAACCTTTCCAGTGTGGCACCCACAGGAGCAATTAAACTGCATTTGTCATGGAAGACAAAGGATGCAGAAGTGAAATCCAGCTCATTTATGCGAAACATCACGCGACTTTGGCCTTTTTTAGTGCTTTAAATGCCAGTAGATTCTCCATGAGATTGATTCGGTAACCTTTCTCTTCTCCTTCACAGTCTTCATCTCAACACGCTACTGCTGTCCTGTTGACTCTAGGTGTAAAATCCTCAGATCACTTTTAGTAAAAGTCACTTAAAGTAAAATAATTAAAGTAAATAAACATACACACACCAGCTCAAACAGGGGCTAATTAATGTAGCCATGAAATGACTCTCTTACTATAGATCTAAGCTTTTGTGAGCTATTTAAATGGAAAAGAAAACAAATGATCTATCTCTTTTTTATTATGATTAAATGAAAAGGTCCCTAGATGTCCAGAGTAATGACATGTTGTTTCTGTACTTTGTGAGAGGGTTATATCTTGGCCAATAAGAGCAAAAGTATTTATTTTTTATTTGTAATAATAGCTGGAATGAGAATTAATCCTAGCCCCTCAGGGAGTATTGCTGTAGTGATAAATAAATATAGTTACATTATAAATATATGGGTTCAACAAGCCAGATATTGGTTTAAAATAGCCATGCCAGTGTATCTGTGACAACAGCAACAGCCAGTATGAGGTCAGAGACAGAGAGAGTGAGCATCAGAGAAAAGGAGGACACTGTGTGTCCCTGTGTTTCTCTGTAGATGCTGAAGTAAAACATAGAAAAGAGGAAGTAACATAGTACAGCAAGGCAGGCCTGATGTAGAGATGATGTAACTGTAAAACTGCAGGTTTCTGTTTAAACATGAAAACTAATGCAACTAATGCGTGGATCTGTCAGTAAATGTGGTGTATATATCTCTATCTATAAAACTTGTATTATTCTCTCTGACAGTTTCCACTTTATCATCCGTGTCATCCTCACAATCCTCATCAACATCATTAAGGTGGCTTATTACCTCATCGCACATCATCATGATGATGAACATTAATGGTACAGAGTCTTGGCTTTTCATCAACACTTCCTTTAATACACCTCAAATATCGGGTCCAGCAAACACAAGTGGTATGGAAAGATATCTTCAAAGACTGGCACATTTAGATGAGGGGCTCTACAATGACTTCTATGGCCTTTGGATTGCACTGGTGGTCATAAACTCCCTTATTTTCCTGGTAAGGTGTTTTGACGAAGGCTTTTTAATGTTGCACATAATTTCTATGTTGAAAATTAGTACCTCTTACTAATTTTTCTCGCATCTATCTTTTAACTCTTTTGGTTTTTCAGGTGGGCATGGTGCTCAACATAGTTGCACTTTATGTTTTCTGTTTCCGCACCAAGCAAAAGACCACCTCAGTCATCTACACCATCAACCTGGCCGTGAGTGACCTCTTGGTGAATCTCTCTCTACCGACTCGCATCCTGCTCTACTACAGTGGAGGAGCTTGCATCACCTGCTCATATCTGCACATCTTCAGCTACTTTGTCAACATGTACTGCAGCATCCTGTTTCTAACCTGCATATGCGTCGACCGGTACCTTGCCATTGTGCAGGTGAGTGTCGTCTGTAGCTTGGTTACACAGTCGTGCTTATGAAAATGCTAGACACTTACAAGGCTGCACATTCTGTTCTGTCTTTGTAGGCTGAAGCCTCTCGTCGTTGGAGGAACTCCAGTGTGGCCAAATGTGTTTGCATTTCTGTATGGCTGTTTGCCATTGTGGTTACCTACTCCTTTCTTTCCACCGCTTTTCAGCACACAGGCTGCTGTCTCTCAAAGCTCCTCTTTCTCACCATCTTTGAGTTCTTTCTACCACTTGTCATCATTGTGGTCTTCACTTTGCGCATTATGTGGGCTTTAACAGACCGTCGTCTGATGCAACAGAGCAGGTAGGTAGAACCAATATTACACTGACAGATGGCGGGAAAGAAAACTAAAGTTGTTTTTCTTGTATTGAAGAAAATAAAGTGCATCCACAAAATATTCAGAGGAAATCACACACTGGCTCTGAATACTTATATACATGTTATGTTTGTGTTTTTTGTTTTTTGTTTGTAATAAATTTGCAAGAATTTCAAGCAAACCTTTTTCACATTGTCAGTATGGGGTATTGTGTGCAGAATCTCGAGTGAAATGTAAATAAATCGATTTTGGAATAAGGTTGTAACATGACAAAATGTGGAACAAGTGAAGCGCTCTGAATACTCTTAGGATGCACTGCATTAACTGTTTACATGGATTCTCTCCAGTTACTCCAGCTTCACCGTACAGTCCAAAGATGTGCAGGGGTTTTCTTAAATGTTGATTCTGAACTGAAATTGGGTTTGAATGTGAGCCTCTTCGTTCCATGTGTGTATGTGAGCCATCTGTCTGTCTTTGACTCACTGACACATAGGAAAGTTTATATCCCATAAAAATATGCAGATAATGGTATCTTTAACTTTATTTTCTCAGGGATAGGAGAAGGAGAGCTGTCCAGCTGTTGACAACTGTGCTGATCATCTTCACAGTCTGTTTCACACCCTTTCATGTTAGACAGGTGAGCAACAAGTATTTGCAACAAGTATATATAAAGTAAAAGGCCAAGTAGTATTAATGATTGTATTCTCCCTCATGAAACTGGGGATGCTTTCAACTTTATCCTCTAAAAAGGATTAAAAATGAACAAATGTGAGGCAGAAAACCAGCCTTTGCTTGAACTGCTCATAAATTATATCCATGCTTGGGTGAACCTTGACCCTGCATTGTGGGTCACCGGAAGGTTCAGGACAATTTTGATTAGACAATATTACCAGATGATAAAGCAACAGAAAAATCTATATATATATAACATAAATATATAGACAAAAATACATGTACAATATTTCAAACCAATATTGACATGTATTAAAAAGACAGAAAGTTTATGTATACACATACATATACACACAGTACACAGTACTCCATTTTCAGCAGCTCAAATGTAATTGGACAACTTCCTGATAAATAATTTTATGGTCAGATGAAGCCTGTTTCCTCTCCAGGAGGTTCATGTATCATTGTCAGAGTCTGCAATCAAGAGACGGCTTCATGAATGTAAACACAAAGGGTTTACAGCAAGGTGCAAATCCATTGGTTAAACTTCAGGACAGGAAGGGCAGATTAGACTTTGTCAGAAACCATCTAAAAGAGCCTGAACAGTGCAGGAAAAGATTATTTGGACAGATGACACAAAGATTAACTTGTACCTGAATTGTGGGAAGAGAAAAATATGGAGAAGCAAA